CCGCTGATGGCGGTCGGGTAAGTTGAAGTCAACTGAAAAGCTAACTCAAACAACGGATTAATCACTGATTTTTATATCAGGTTGGTGTGCAGTTGTAGTTTTTCAAAATTTCCACATAAAAAACGACCGTCAAAGTTTAGCGAATTCTCTGTTATAGGTGGTCTCGCCAGCTTGATATTGACGAGAACTCCAAAACTTGAATTTCCCTGGCTCCTTAGAAAACTAAAGCCTACGATAATTGGTCATGGACACCCAACGACAATATAGTTCAAAACCACGCAAACAAAGCATTGTTAAACGTATAATAAATTTATTTTTAGTATTTAATGCCTGAAATTTTACGTCGGGAAGTATGATGAATGATCACACAAGAAATCCTATTGATTTTTGCTTCAGGGGAATTTAAGGCGAGCTAGCTATAGTTCTCTCCAGAGTGACACTCTGAGTACCCTGGGTGCAGCGAAAGTTTTGATTTTTTTTGCATGTTATGGCAGCAAAGCCCTAAATTCTAATGCCTACCACTCCCCACGATCATGGCCACCTCTCCACAACAGCCACTTTCTTCTGTTCATAAGGTGGCCAATGTGGAGGGAATGTTCAATTCACAGTATTTCTAGGATGCGGCATTGGGGGATGTCGGCAATGGGAAACATACCACCACAAATATGGCATGGCAAATAGCGGTGAGGTATTATACCGGAGTAAAGAATTTAAAGGTATTATTTGAAGGTATCTATAGATTTATGACTTTGGTACGAAACTGGGAGTGAAGTGTACAGTTTGCGGTGCATCTTTCAGTTGTAAAAGAAAGGTTGTTAAAAATTGTGTCACTTAACTGAGACTTTTAAGAGAAAATATTAATTACCAAACGGGGATAAAAAAAGTGAAGGAAAAAAATTAAACCAGCAACAGTGGAACAAAAATGTTCAGATACCTTTAGGGTACTTTAGGCCCTCTTTCTTAAAAATGGGGCCTCTACTATTTTGGGAGGTGGGGGGCCATGGTAGCCTTATGGGCTGAATAGACCCTCATCACCACACATACCGGCATTTGTACCAATCCAGGGCACCCAACGTCAATTTTCGGAAAATATCTGTTCGGAAGACGATTTGAGATCTAGAATTTTTGGAACATTTGTTGTAAAATTTCTTGCTTGCCTGCCTCTCCTAGGATTTTCGAACATCTAAAAAATGGTATAACTGCCCATTTTAATGGATTTTTACCCTAAAAAGGTCACCTAGAACTTTCAGGAACCTTTTTTCTGGCTGAAATTTTCGAAAAGGTAAGTTTTGATCCCTATAATTTTCGGATCATTAGACTTTCAGCTAGGAAATCCGTACAGATGAAAAAATTTTGAGGGTATAAAAAGATGCCTATATCTACCGTTTAAGAAGGAATCCACCAGAAAATTGAGTAATTTTAATTTTTAGGGGACAAAAACTTTGTACCAGAATAATTTAAAGAATATTGCATTCTTTTTTACATTTTTCAAGGGCTAAAGATGTAATTTGTCTTCTGTAATAACACCAAAGAACATTTCTTATGGGAGTCCGAGAAAATGAATGTCAAATTTCACAAGAATTGTGAAAAAACAGGTAAAATTCTCAAAAAATTTCATGTTTAAGATGTAATTTTGTGAAATTTGACATTCATTTTCTTGGGCTCCCGTAAGAAATTTTCTTAATGGTGTTGTTACAGGTGACTGATTACATCTCTAACCCTTGAAAAATGTAAAAAAGAATGCAATATTCTTTAAATTATTCTGGTACAAGGTTTTTGTCCACTGAAAATTAAAATTACTCATTTTCCTGATGGATTCCGTCTTAATATAAATACTGTTTATTTATACAGTCACCTTGAGTGACACCGTAAACAATTATATAAATTTTATAAGAATTAGAACTAAACATATCATTAAGTGTCAGGTCCTAGTTCTGATATGTCAGTTACCAAAAAACCACCTGAAAAGATCTGCAGCATAACTTAATCAAGCCTTCACCCCCACTCTCCCCCTCCAAAAACATGCTTATAGAAGATGTTTTTACATGTACCATAAAATCTCTAAATTGTCCATCATCCCAGTAACAAGCTTTGTATCAGGAGTACTCCTCATGGCTAAACTGAGATGGGAGAGTCGGTAGTACATAATGAATCTTAACCTCTTTTTACCATTCAATCTAGTTTATATTTCATTTTGACCTCAGAATGGCAGCCAGATCTTATGAAGCTGGTTTTAGAAAATACTATGGTGACAGACTGACCAACATCTCAGATGACACATCAGATGAAGAAATTAGACAAGTTTATGACCACTGGGCCAGAGATTATGACAAGGTGATTAAAATGTATCAAATCATTAGTCCACAGACTATACTGGATCAACAAGGTTTCTTTCATCTGCATCCTCCCACCCCCAACTCCCTTTTAAGAGGTGGAGGATATAATTTGATGTTATCAATTTTTTTAAAAATTAAATGTATCTTAACCTGTTTCTCACTGAATCCTTGTATTTAAAATAAAAGAAGCTGTAGGTTTCTCAATTCCTTATTTGATCTCCTCTTGTTACTATCCCCCGTGTGAACATGTGGACCTTGATGCACTCCATCATTTTTGTCAGAAAACTTTACATGTGCATTAATGTTAAGGTAGAGATGGAGGGGACAAATCCTGTTGTCCCATTCAAAATTTTCTGGGAGCGACAAGTTTCGTGTTGCATTAGTTTGATTTGTGTTAATTAGATGTTACAATACAAGGTATTTTTGTAATTTCCATATTACTTTCAATTACTGATTTCAATTTGAGAGTAAGGTATATAAGTTGGTCACAAATTTAAGATAATTCCCCTTAAAAAGTGACTGAAGTAGACTTTTTAAGTGATTATAGGGGCTAGAAATCTAAACCCATGGACACTATGCCCCTGCATGCTTCTAAACAAGTTCCATGCCCTGTCCTGGAGGCTTGAACTATAATATGTTTCATTCTTTTGAGAAGGGAGGGTGATAACAGATAAAGTCTCACCCTGAAATAGCAGTAGCTGATTCAGATCTTCAACATTCAGTATGGGAGGGGGGGAGTTGCTTGCTCATCCTCATCCCAGGATCAGATTGAAGCCTAGCATAAAAAATAACTCTTTTTGACGCCTTCAGGCTTCAGTTTAGGTAAAAAAAAAAAAAATGGTCGGGCCTTATCCTTGGACCCCCTTCCCTATATCTGCCACTGCTGTATAATGTTGTTTTAGTAAAATCCAGCTAGTGGTCTATTATCAATGCTGCATTCTGATTGGTTGAGCTATGACTAGGCTATATTTTATAGCGCACTAGTAGCGAAAAGCTCCAGCTTTGAAAACCAAAACAATGGCGGCTGAATCGCTTTTGGTAGCTTAAGTTGTTTTGTCTCGATATTTTTGACCAACTAGTTGGATTTTACTAAAACAATAATTCCTGTTGCCCTCATTGCCTCTGAGTCAATAACCCATTTGGGCTTGAGGAATAATTGGGAAATATTCTTGACATACACCATTGGGAATTAAGTCCTATACATGTATTGATATGGGACTTAATAAGCTGTATTGAATTAAGCACAAAAATAAGTGGCCCATCTGTTGTTTGTGTTTATCTCTGTCCCTTAGGATGTTGTTGAGGCAGCACGTGGTGTTTATCACAAGCCACTTGCTGAATGTCTGGAGGGAATTCTCACAGAAAATGTTCCCGAAAAAGCAAAAGGTGACCTCAAAATCATTGACGTGGGAGCTGGGACAGGATTAATAGGAATAGAACTTCAAAAACTTGGTTACAGTAATCTTCACGCGCTGGATATTTCACCTGAAATGTTAAAAGAAGCAAAGAAACGGAACATTTACAAGAGGTTTTTTTGTGTCGGATTAAGTGACCAACAGATTTCCGAAATACAAACAGATGGTCTTATATGTGCTGGTACCCTCCTCATGGGGCATATCAGGGCAGCTGCTTTTGAAGAAATGGTCAGGATGGTGAAACATGGTATAATAACTAATCATTGATTGTTACTGTTGTTGCAGTCAGGGCCTCTAATAGAGTGCAAAAAATACTAGGAGATTAAGTGGAATTTTCTGGAGGTCACGTTACATGGCAAAAAGGTCTATTATATTAAAAAAAAAACGTTTCGCGACTCCATCACAGCCTGGTTTCCCCGCGAAATGACCTTTGATGAACGAGTGCAGAAATTCCATACTGATGACAACTGATAACACGTCTCCATAGCTACCCAGATCTGGGTAGTACTTCTGATTAAACCAAGTAAATTTTCAACCAATCACAAATAGTACCCATATCTGGGTGGTGACAAGTCATCAGTATGGAATTTCTGCAGTCGTTCCTCAAACGTTATATCACGCGGAGTAATGGCGTCGTGAAATGTCGATTGCTTTGTCGGGCTAGATGAAATCAGAAACTCGCTGTTGTTGTTGCTTTGTTTGTTTTTGTTCTCATCATGCTCACGAAATGAAGATTTATACAAATATTTCATTTTAATTATTTCTGTAGGTGGTGTAATCTGCTTCAACATCCGGGATAATCAGCTGGTTGACTACCAAGCAAAAATACAGGAACTTGAAAAAGCGGCAAGATGGGAAATGATCACTAAGAACGTAGTGTCTTTTTTCGAAAGTGAGGAAATGCCCAGAGAAACTTACGCTCTCTTGTTTAGAGTTTTAAGGAAATAACGCAAAAATGCCACCTCGTAACTACATAGATTCTAAAAAACGAAAACCTTAGCAGATTTTTGAAAAATTTTTGACAGATTTATGGAGTAAAGATCCTTTTTTAGACTTTTTTACGCAATATTAAAACTCTGATAGAAAAGCAACTACTTTTGAGAGTTCCATGGCTCATGAGGGGGAGGGGTGGGGACAGGAGGAGTGGGGGAGGAGATGGAGGGAACAAATCCTGTTATCCCATTCAAAATTTTCTGGGAGCGACACTAAAAACGGCTACAAGCGAGACTATTGCAGTGGCAAAACTGTCCTGGCGGGCGAGCTCTTGTTACTCAAATCATGTCCCCTGAGCTTACAGGGAAACTTATGGCCGAGAAGAATGGGGAATGGGAGAGATTAAGATCAAGTTTTTTTCTATTCAAATTTTCCTTTTTTTATTGGCTGTTGTCAGGAATAGGATTGAAGCACTCAAAGATACGGCATTGTTGTTACTAATCTGAGCAGGCTGAGCTTTCCATGTAGTTCAATTTGATTCCATTTAATTTAATTGACTGGTTCGTAGCTTCAGATATGTTGTTGTTCTAGTGCAACAATGGTCCCTGGTCCATCAAGGGTGCTCCATTTTTCTTTTTTTCTTAGAAATTTCGGAAATCACTTTTCCAAAAAGTATTAAAACCATGTCCGTAAAGTGAGGAAGTGGGTCAATAAACAAGAAAGAATAAAAGAAGGAAAAGCGACAAGAACATGATAGTAAACTTTTAGCCTTATTGTAAATAGGATCAACATTTCGTCCTAAGGCATAATCCGCCAAGACAGTCTCTAATAGTTTGGATTCTGGACTCTGCGTTGTGCCTCCGCGGATTCTGATTCCTTGACGGCGGAACTTGGATTCCATTTCCAATCGATCGTGTGATTCCAGATTACTTGAATTGAGAATTCTGTATTCCATATCCCATCATTCCAGATTCCACAAGCAACAAATTTCCAAATTTCGGTTTGCGGATTACCTTACATTGGACGAGACGCTGGTCGACGCAACACCGGTTGGATAATGGCAATTTATCTCGTCCGTCAGCAATCTTCCGTTTCTTTGTTTACTAATTTACTTTGTTGTTGTTGCTGCTGGTTTGTTTGAAGATCATGTATATTTTCAAAGTCCTCATAGTCAATTAATCATGTGACATTAAGAACAATGCCCTCCTTGTTTTCTTTCTAGGTAGAGGGAGGTGTGACCGGGTTGAAATTTGCCAGTACCGCCAGTATCCACGATCAGAAATGCCCTCTTTAAAGGACTCATTTCTTAATTAAAATTCGCATTTTTAACGTGACAAAACATCTCTAAGCTTTGAAAACACATTGTTTTCTTTTTTTCTCTCTTTTTCGCGCGTACACCTTTTAAAACACCTATTCAGAAAAGCACCCTACCTCCCCTACACTCAGACAGAGGAAGTCAAGTCAGTCAGCCATAGAAAAGTCATATTCACTCGAACGCATATTTAATTTCTTTTTAAGTTTCCCGAAAGTTCCTTGATCGCCCTAGCAGTACAGCTTTAGAGATTTGATCGCATCGCACTTTACTTTAGGCAATTCTCAGATCATCTGACCACGACTCTGCTACAGACGGCAGGACGGCCGACGAAAAGGTGTTTTAAAAACGTAAGTACGACAATTTGAAGCGAAAATTTACTGTGAATTTTATTTCTGATCAAGTGTTTAGATCATGTTAGGTCTGTTAGATGTGCACGGAGATCAAGCGGTATTATAAATTTTCCTCAGTTTCAGTGCAGTCTAAGGTGTGTTTCAGTGATTGACCGTTTTGAGCTAGTAATCCGTTTCTTTTGAACTGTGTGAACAAGTAAAAACCCTCATCCAAGGAAGCACCCTCTATACCTCCATCATACTCCGATGAAATCAAGTCAGTCAGCCGAAACTAGGTTAATTTCACTTTCAATTTCGCTGAAAATTCCTTGATAAGTCAACGCTCTATAGCATTAACACTCTGTCTTCCTCTTTCAGAACTGTCAGAGTACCATATCCGTAGCCAGCTTGGCCAACGATTTAGTTTGGCCAAAGTTCGTGCAAGGGACTCGCACGGAAACGCTTGCTACGCACAGGTAAATATTCAAGAAAATAGTTCATCATATGTCGTAATTATAGAAGCACCTTATTTGTTGGGTAGCCAGCCGTCCGCGCTCATCATAGACTCATTATATACTCTGGATTGGTGATTCAAAGAATTTCGAATAAATGATGAGGGAGAAATTAAAAACAGAATAAGTGAAATCAATAAAGTCAGTCAGCCGTAGCAAGGTAGTATATTTAATTTCACTTTCAGTTTCCCCGAAAGTTCCTTGATTAGTCAACGCCATAGCAGTACAGCTTCAGAGATTTGATGACATCGCACTTTACTTTCGCACTTCTCTAATCATCTGACCACGCCTCGATTACAGACGGTAGGACGGCCGACGGAAAGGCGTTTAAAAACGTAAGTACATTTGAAGCCAAATTTACTCTGAATTTTATTTCTGATCAAGTGTTTAGATCATGTTAGGTCTGTTAGATAAGCACGGAGAACAAGCGCTATTATGAATTTAACAGTTTCAATGCAGTCTAAGGTGTGTTTCAGTGATTGACGGTTTTGAGCTAGTACTCCGTTTCTTTTGAACCGTGCGAACAAGCTAGTAAAAACCCTCATTCAAGAAAGTACCCTCTATACCTCGATCATACTCCGAGGAAGTGAAGTCAGTAAGCAGAAACTAGGTTTATTTCACTTTCAATTTCGTCGAAAATTCCCTGATGTCAAGAACGCTCTATAGCCTCAGTCAGACAATAGGGCGGAAATTTTGTGAAATCGCAAGTTCGTATTTTGGAAGCGAAAATCTTACGCTGAACTGATCACAGTGAAATGTTACATACGATGCTCACATCGCAGTTTACGTTTGGCATTTCAGTGTTCATGAATATCGATAAGAATACAGAACAGGAAAGATGTCCTAAACACGTAAATACGAGGATTTGAGGTGAAAAGTTACTCTGAAGTTTATCTCTCTGATCACTCAGATGGGCCCTCGACGATCAATTAATGCCATGATGAACTTAACAATTTTAGCAGCCTTTGGTGCTGGTAGAAACGTTAGAACATGTTTCAATCTGTGATTGACTGGCTTCCCTATAAGTAATCGATTCATAAAAAGAGTCAAACGAGTAAACGGCAGCCACATTAGATATCAAAGGGACCTTCAGAGTTTGACGCATAGTCTATAAACATGAACAGTTCTGGCGATTTACATATAGAAGGAAATAACACATTTTGAAAATCTATGAAATCCCGTGACTTAAAAACTCCCATACTTTAACACGCTGTCTTCCTGTTTCAGAAATGTCAGAGTAGCGTATCCGTAGCCTGCTTGGACAAAGATTTAGTTTTGCCAAAGTTCGTGTGAGGGGCTCGCACGGAAACGCTTGCTACGCACAGGTAAATATTCAAGAAAATGGTTCATATGTCGTAATTATGCAGAAGCACCTTATTTGTTGGGTAGTCACCGTCCGCGCTCATCATAAACTCATTATAAACTCTGGATTGCACAGTAATAGACCTTGTCACGGTTTTCGACGCCATCTTGAAGAGTAGACAAACGCGTGAGAAATTACAGTGTTTGTATGAGAATCTAATGTCGAATAATTTCCGTAAAACGGCTGTTCTGAATAAAATATCAATTGTAAACTAAAGCTACAAAGCAAAGGATTGTCCTAAAAAATTTTGGTGGTGTACCTGTGCTTAAATTTCTCCAGAGGCTTGCTTTAGATTTTCAATATATTTGTCTGTAATTTTCCCGGGACTTTCTTACAGACAAATGTATAGAAAATTGTAAAAAGTGGTTCTAGGTCTTCTAGTACATGTAACGCCCTCAAATTTTTTTCAGGAGAATCCTTAGGAGTAAAGCTTTAGTTTACAAATCATATTTTTTTCAGAACAGCCGTTCTACGGAAATCATTCGACATTAGATTCTCATACAAACACTGTAATTTCTCACGCGTTTGCCTACTCGTCAAGATGGCGTCGAAAACCGTGACAAGGTCTATTTTCAAGGAGAGATAATAACTCCTCTAGTGGGGTTAATTTAACTCCTTACAGTGGAGTTATTTTTTGGGGAGATACTTTAACTCCAAAAAGGAGTTAAAAGAACTCTTTTTCAGAAGTGAAAGTGAACCCAGATATTGAGGAGTTGAAATAACCCCCAAAAAGGAGTTATCCTGTACCTAAAATTTTTACTTCACTTTCAGAGTTTAATTAACTCCAAAAAGAGTAAAAACAACCCATGTAAGGAGTAAAAATACCCCATTTCGGAGTTATTTTAACTCCAGACTAGGAGTAAAAAGAACTCTTTTTCGGGGGTAAAAATGACCCCAAATTCGGAGTTAAATTAGGAGTTAAAGTAACCCCCCAAAAGGGGTTATCCTCTACCTAAAATTTTTACTCCATTTTTGGAGTTATAATAACTTCCTAAAAATTACGGTGTGGTAATCCAAAGAAGTTCGAATAAATGGTGAAGAGAGAAATTAAAAACAGAGTAATGAAATGAATAAAATAATAAGTCAGTCAGCCGTAGCAAGGTAGCATTATTTAATTTCACTTTCAGTTTTCCCGAAGATTCCTTGATTAGTCAACGCCATAGCAGTACAGCTTCAGAGATTTGATGACATCGCACTTTACTTTCGCACTTCTCTAATCATCTGACCACGCCTCGATTACAGACGGTAGGACGGCCGACGGAAAGGTGTTTAAAAACGTGAGTACATTTGAAGGGATAATTTACTCTGAATTATATTGGTAATCAAGTGTTCAGATCATGTATAGGTCTGTTACATTTGCACAGAGATCAAGCGGTATTATGAATTTAGCAGGTCAGTGCAGTCTGAGGTGTGTTTCAGTGATTGACCGTTTTGAGCTAGTACTCCGTTTGTTTTTAACTTTTCGAACAAGTGAAAACCCTCATTCAAGAAAGCACCCACTAGTATACCTCCATCATACTCCAAGGAATTCAAGTCAGTCAGCCGAAACATGGTTATATTTAATTTCACTTTCAATTAGAGAGCTGGGCATGAGCCGTTGGAAGTAGACGCACATTTGAAAGCTCCGCAAACCCGGCTTTGAGAAATCAACACAACACAGTGAATATTGCCGTTCTTGTACGTTTTTCATCGTACTAACAGCTACCAACATGGGAAACAAAGATTTAGATAAAAAACGACCGAGGATAAGCAGCTCTGGCACCGACACGGAATCCATCGAAGCAGCCCAAGATGGCGCCTACATCAAAATGACGCTAACAGAATATCAAAGTTTCTTATTAAGACTTACAGCTATCGAAGACAACACTAAAATCCGCGAAGAACGAATTCTTAATCTGGAGGCTAGACTTGACGAAGCCCAAGTTGAAATACAAGCCTTAAAGAAACAACTCCGTGAGGTCGATAAGACAATGAACAACACTAAAGATTCCCTTGAGTTCACCCAAGGTGAGCATGACGACCTTGTGGAACGCGTCGCGAACTGCGAAAACGAGCAGTCAACTTGTTGGGATGAGCTGACTCATTTAAACATCTATAGTCGTCGATGGAATCTAATTTGCTACAGAGTCAATGAGTCCAAAGACGAGGATTGCTTCTCGCTGGTACGTGACGTCTTAACCCGAAATTTAAACCTACCACAAGACGAAGTCTCGAATATGAAGCTTTGCGGGGCACACCGTCTTGGCAAGCCAAACAGAAACAGAGCCCGACCTCTTATTGCTCGCTTCACGTGTCGTGCTGACAGAGATCGTGTCTGGAAAGCTCGCTACAGCCTGAAAAACTCGCGTATTTCAATGGGTGAAGACCTACCGAAGCACATACAAGAAATCAGGAAAAACGTCCTTATCCCTGCGATGAAGAAGATAAAACAAGAAACACCAAGCCACAAAGCTTCCGTCATAGGAGATAAGTTAGTTGTTAATGGAAAAGTTTATTTTCATCATGACGTGCCGAAGAAATGGCTCCCTGTCAACTCTTCAGTGAATAACCATGAGGATTATGGCAATGGTACAGCCGAACATCAAGAACCACTGCAAAGTCAAGAAGAATCCTCTGATGTTATGGTCCAATCCCAAGAACTGCTTAGTCAAAGCGAATAGGTGACGCTTTTTCCGTAAGTCCAATCCTTTCACAAAACTTTAAAATTAACTCTTAGTTGAAAACCAGTTTTATTTTTACTCCGTTGCTTCTTGCCTTTAAAATCATGCTCTAGTTTTGTGTTTCCAAATACGAGGACTTAATTTCAACCCTGAGATGGAACTCGCTATTTTCATGCTTCCCTTGCGGTAACCAAATTTTCACTTGCACCTTTCAAAATGGCAAATCCGTTTATTTTACATTCAGAGTCCAAGTCGTTGTTATTGCGGATGCTTTCTACGTCCCTTGTTATGCTACCCTCTCAAGTACGCCAAACCACTTTCGTGTGGTGCGTTCGAAGGCCTTTTTCAGCGCCTTTTCTATTTTTCTGTTTATGTTTCTTAAGTAATGTTTGTCTAAGTCCTTTGATAATTTATTTTATTTCTACTAGTAGTTTGAACACTTTAATCACCAAAACACTGCATTCACATTCACACTTCGGCCAAAAGACAGCTGTCAAAGTCCGCCGTTGCCAGCGCAATTTTCTGACTTTTTCCCTTTGTCCCGTAGACGCCTTTAAAACCTAGTTTTGATGTTAAATTCCAGTCCTTAAACGTAAGAGGACTGAATAAGTCAATTAAACGTCGATCAATCTTCCGTTGGTTACATAATCAAAAATTCCATTTCACATTCTTACAAGAAACCTACAGCTCTAAAGAATGTGCCCAAATTTGGGAAGCTGAATGGGGTGGGAAGGTTTATTTTAGTCACGGCAGTTCACACAGCAAAGGTGTCATGACTCTCGTTAATCCGAACTTAGATGTCAAGGTCGAAAAATGCATCCAAGACACGAATGGCAGGTTTCTTATACTTGACCTATTAATTGATGAGTTGCATCTAATTCTAGTGAATATTTATGCCCCGAATGACGCGAATCAGCAACTCACGTTTTTTATAGAGCTCGAAAATCAGCTTGAAGATTTTGCCCAAGAGAATATTATTATCGCAGGTGACTTCAACTGCGCTCTTTCTGAAAATGACAAAAAAGGTGGAAATTCAGTTTGGAAAAAATCCATAGTAATTAAAGAAGTTCAGCATCTTGCGAACCTCTATAATTTAACAGACATTTGGCGCGATCGCAATCCGAACGACAACCGCTTCACTTGGAGAAACAAATCGCTAAAAATCCCCGGGGGGGGGTACTCCCTAATATGGGCTATATAGGTATGTGCGGCCCCAAAGGGTAGGGTTTTTCAGCCGTTTTGGTCATAAATTGGGTATCGATTTTGGCTATTTTGCCGCCATTTTAGTCATAAATAGGGTAACGATTTTTGCACTGTAGTCTTGAATGCACTTTTTTAGAAGAAGCTACTTCCTTATCATGTCCCCCTCCTTCCATCCGCGCTTTGACTTCCTCTCCACCGGCTGCTTTGTAGGCTAGAAAATACAAGCAACAAGCAACAAAAGCCCTTCGCAAATTATGTTCCAGGTCATAAATAGGGTATCAAATTTTTGGTTACGTCATAAATAGGGTAGGGAAAATCGCAGATTTTGGTCATAAATAGGGTAAGGGTTTTGGGAAGCGGGCCGCACACCCCTACACAATTTTTCTGCGAGTACCCCCCCGTAAAAATCCAATGCCGACTAGACTACTTTTTAATTTCAAAAGAACTCAGCGGTGACACACATGCTTGCAATATAATTAACGCCCCTGAAACTGATCACTCGGCTGTCACTTTACATCTTAAGACAGAAGATTTATTGCAACCTAAAGCTCCTGGTTTTTGGAAATTTAATAATTCTCTATTAGACGACGAAGACTTCACTTCCGCAATCCGTGAAAGTCTACCGGATTTCAAAGATAAATATGCTGACCTGGATGACTTAGGCCTAAAATGGGACTTAATTAAAATGGAAATTCGCGGATTCACAATCAAGTATTCAAAAATCAATGCTAAGAACAAGAGGAATGAAGAGGCTGCCCTTCAAAATAAAGTTAATGAACTTATGCAAAAGTGTGAACAAAACCCTAGCGACAAAAGAATATTGAACGAGCTTTACGCGACAAAATTGCGCCTTCAAACGATCATGCGACAAAAAACAAAAGGCGCCATTCTTAGGAGCAAAGCTCGGTGGCATGAGTTTGGTGAGCGAAATTCCAAATACTTCTTCAACCTGGAAAAACGGAATCATTTTAAAAAAACAGTCACAAGGCTCAAACTTCGTAACAATCAGGTTCCAAGTCAAAATTATTGACAACATTTTACCTACCCAATCTAGCCTCTTCCGCGCGCGCATAACTGATACTGATGTTTGTCCTTTATGCGACCTTGAAAGTCAATCTCTAAAACATATGTTAATTACCTGTAGTGTATCCTCTCCGTTTTTGGACTTGTTTTTCTAACTGGTGGCACGAAAAATTTGAACACAAACTGACTTTATCTGAAAGCACTATTCTATATGGTTGGCACAAAGAGTCAAATAACTGGGAAGTGCTTAATTACTGTTTGATTGTCGCCAAATATAATGTTTTTGCTACAAGCGTACGCAACGGCGTCCTGGACTTTGACAGTTTTCTACTGCGTCTCAACAACAAAATTGATATTCTTCGCACCATAGCTTTTAGATCTAACTGCTTATCGCAATTCAAAAAACATGGGACAAACTTCTTTAGATACACTTTACTGCTATACTGTTTCACTTATCAGGTTTGCGTCTTTTTCCTTTGAATTTAGTTTGTTTTTTTTTTTTGTGACAAATTTAGTTTGTTTTTTGCCATATAGATATATATTTTTTCATAGTTAAAATAACAAGTATTTGTAATTAATTTTTTCTTGTCAATAAAAAAATAAATAAATAAATAATAAAAAAAACCTTTCAATTACACGGATTAAAAAATTCCCCGATAATAGCAAGATTTATTATTTGATCGCATTCCAGTCTACGGTACCCTTCGAACGCCCCTAACAAACAAGTCAGAAAACAGGACAAAAAAGTTTGTGAAATCGGAAGTTCGCCTTTTGGAAGCGAAAATTTTACGCTGAACTGATCACATGTTTACATGCGATCGATGCTCACATCCCACTTTACTTTCGGCACTTCAGTGTCTATGAATCGATAAGAAAACAGAACAGAAAATATGTCTTAAAAACGTAAATACGAGTATTTGAGGTGAAAAGTTACCCTGAAGTTTAGCTCTCTGATCATTCAGATGCGCCCTCGACGGTCAATTAATGCCATGAATTTAGTAATTTCAGCGGCCTTCAGTGCTGGTAGAAACATTAGAACATGTTTCAACCTGTGATTGACTGGCTTCCCTACGTAGTCGATTAATAAAAAGGGTCAAACGAGTATACAACAGCCACATTAGATATCAAAGGGACCTTCAGAGTTTGACGCATAGTCTATAAACATGTCATGAACAGACGAGTTCTGGCGATTTACAAATCGAAGGAAATACAGTGAAACCTGTATTAAGCGGACACCGTATTAAGCGGACACCCTCTACTAAGCGGACAGTAGCCGAAGTCCCCAAATTTATTTCCCTTCTTTACTTTAAATGAAACCTTTATTAAGCGGACACTTCTATTAAGCGGACGCGGACACCTAAAAGGTACCTGAAATGGTCATTTTTCTTGTTGCCAACCTGTATTAAACGGACACTTGTAATTAAATTCCGCCACCCAACATGCTGGACACCGGAAATGCGAAAGATTACCACCCACAAAATTTTTTGATTTTTACATTAAAAAAAGTGACTGACGAACTTATTTGATTAGTTTCACAACACAGGATTGTTGCAATCTATGTTTATGGTACTATGATCAATTGGTTCACTTTGATAAAGAAATTAATGCAAACGTCTATCGTCATAGTCTCTGGGAGTATTATAAACGCTTCCACTGTTCATTTGAATGGCATTTGACACCTCATATGACGTTATATATCGAAACCTGTATTAGGCGGACACTACAGCATTCCCCGAGGGTGTCCGCTTAATACAGGTTTCACTGTAAAACATTATGAAAATCTATGAAATCCCGTGACTTCAAACCCCCCATATTTTAACACTCTGTCTTCCTGTTTCAGAACTGTCAGAGTACGGTACCCGTAGTTTGCTTGGCCAACGATTTAGTTTTGCCAAAGTTCGTGCAAGGGGCTCGCAGGGAACTGACGCTTGATACGCACAGGTAACTGACAGTTCATATTTCGTTGTAATTATAGAAGCACCTTATTTGTTGGGTAGCCAGCCATCCGCGCTCATCATAAACTCATTACAAACTCTGGATTGGTGATCCAAAGAATTTCGAATAAATGGTGGAGGGAGAAATTAAAAACAGAATAAATGAAATTAATAAAATAATAAGTCAGTTTGCCGTAGCAAGGTAGCATATTTAATTTCACTTTCAGTTTCCCCGAAAGTTGCTTAATTAGTCAACGCCATAGCAGTACAGCTTCAGAGATTTGATTGCATTGCACTTTACTTTCGCACTTCTCTAATCATCTGACCACGCCCTGATTACAGACGGTAGGACGGCCGACGGAAAGGCGTTAAAAAACGTATTAAGTACATTTGAAGCCAAATTTACTCTGAATTTTATTTCTGATTAAGTGTTTCGATCATGTTACGTTTGTTAGATGTGATTGGAGATCAAGCAGTTTCAATGCAGTCTAAGGTGTGTTTCAGTGACTGACCGTTTTGAGCTAGTACATATACTCCGTTTCTTTTGAACTGTGAGAACAACTAAAACCCTCATTCAAGAAAGCACCCTCTAAACCTCCATCATACTCCGAAAAAGTCAAGTCAGCCACCCGAAACTAGGTTAATTTCACTTTCAATTTCGCTGAAAATTCCCTGATAAGTCAACGCTCTATAGCATTAAGATTTATTATTTGATCGCATTCCAGTTTACGGCACCCTTTGAACGCCTCTAACGACAACAGGACAGGAAAATTTTGTGAAATCGCAAGTTCGCATTTTGGAAGCGAAAATTTTACGCTGAACTGATTAAATGTTACATGCGATGCTCACATCACAGTTTACCATCGGCACTCCAGTGTCCATGAATATCGATAAAAATACAGAACAGAAAAGATGTCTTAAACACGTAAACACGAGGATTTGAGGTGAAATGTTACTCTGAAGTTTCTCTCTCTGATCATTCAGATGCGCCCTCGACGATCAATTAATGCCATGAACTTAGCAATTTCAGCGGCCTTCAGTGCTGCTAGAATATATTAGAACATGTTTCAATCTGTGATTGACTGGCTTCCCTAAGAAATCGATTCATAAAAAGAGTCAGTCAAACGAGTAAACGGCAGCCACATTAGATATCAAAGGGACCTGTAGGGTTTGAACAGTTCTAGCGATTTACATAATAGAAGGAAATAAAACATTATAAAAATCTATGAAATCCCGTGACTTAAAAACTCCCATACTTTAACACGCTGTCTTCCTGTTTCAGAACTGTCAGAGTAGCGTATCCGTAGCCAGCTTGGCCAACCATTTAGTTTCGCCAAAGTTCGTGCAAGGGACTCGCACAGAAACCCTTGCTACGCACAGGTAAATATTTTAGAAAATAGTTCGTATATCGTAATTATAGAAGCATCGTATTTGTTGGGTAGCCAGTCGTCCGCGCTCATCATAAACTCATTATAAACTCTGGATTGGTTATCCAAAGAAGTTCGAATAAATGGTGGAGGAAGAAATCAAAAACAGAGGAAGTGAAATTAATAAAATAATAATAATGATGATGATAATGATAATACTGTATTAGTGCAAATCAGGGCAAATAAATACTGTAATATTCCTCAACATGTATGACTCATTATTAGGGCTATAACCCCTAGGGCTTTATAACAAACGAATAACAGCATTACATATCAAGTGCCTGAGCTCTTATGATTAGTTGGTAATGGATGACCTAACGATTACTGGTCTTCACGCGATCTTCACAGAACTAACTGCGCAGTGTACAATTAGTTGATATGTGCATGTTTGCACCTGCCACTGGGTCAAGGTTAGCCTCTAGTCTCTTTCTACAAAGGCGATTTGGAAAGATATACATCCTTGTAAAATACAAAATATGTCAATAAATGCAAAAATAATTGTCACTGAGGTTTTGATACCCTGAACCAACCTACCATTAACGGCCTGTTGAGTGTTGAGATGGGGGGGGGGGGGGGGGAAGGCAGGTGAGGTGGAGGGGGGAAGGGTTAAGAGTATAGCTTTACCCAAGCTTGGACGTTGTTGTGCAGGGCTCAAAAAGACGCCCGGCCAACAAACAATGTACGGCCGAAATGATCATTATTCGCATAATACTGGAAATTACAAAAACGGGCCTGCTGTAATTGGCCTAAGCTGTTGCAGTGTCCCTGCCGACCCCCCTTTTTAGTTTAATTACGTTTTTTTTTTTTCAGTAGTTTAGGGCGCACCGAATAGACCCCATTTATTGCGCAGGAATTTATTAACGCCGATGACGTCATAGAGTCATCACCCTCTGCGAGATACAATCTTTTCCTCACCCCACTTTCTCCCCCCCCCCCTCCCTCCGCATTAAATTTATTTGCCCTTTCTTACCTTAATTTTTATTTTTATTTTCCCTCCCTCCCATCGACCTCACATCGATCCCACCTCAGCCCATAATAACGAGAAGTGAA